TATACAAGTGTTGGCACGCTTACGCTTGGATTAAAGTATTCTTTGTGGACAATATATTCCCCTTCTCTTAAGATGATTTGCTTCTTCCCATTGAACGAGTCGTTAAAGAGTCTGATATTGATTGGTGTTTTGAACCAGTTCATTTGATAAATAATTGACCAGTCAATCATGTCTGAGAAGACGCTGATTTGATGACCACTGAATGATAAGAATGTTTCTAGATTCCTCTTCATTTGAAATGGGATATCGAGCTTTGTAAGAAGATATACGGGGAATGTGATTTGAATCATTGCAAGAACAATTTCGTTGACATCCTCTTCCATTTGTTTCGTGTAAATCATTTTTTCGTCGTGTTGACGTTTGATTTCTTTGTACTTTTCATACAAAGTGCCCAACAACAATTCTAGTTCTTGATTCATTTCTACGTATGATTTGTTTTGTTTGATTGCTCCTGTGATGATTTCTAGCCCATGCATGACAAATGAATTTCCTGTAACTCTTTGTGGGATTTTCTCGAAATAATCTATGAAATGGATTTCTTCACTCGTTCTAAAGACCTTGAACACCCTCTTCTTGGTTTCTATCGTTGAAATCCCGTTTTTCTTTGGATTGATTTGCCAATATGAGTCACTGTTGTTTAGCATTATGTTTCGGTAATATCTAATGAGCTGGACTTGGTTGTTTGATGATCCATTGAAATTCAACATCTGTTTTATAAGATTACATCCCACTTTTTATTAAAAAAACTAAAATGGAATACGTAGAAATATTCTTCATATAAATTTCTGTTTGTTTCCTTTGATAAAAATGTCATCTATTTTTTGTTTTAATTGTGAAGTGAATTGAATAATTGTTAATCAGTAAATTATTTAACACAACTTCCATGCATTTCAAAGTTTTGCAAAATTCATTGAACTTCTTTCCTTCTTCAAAGATCGTTTCCTGAGATATGATGTTACCATTGCAAGTGATGCTAGTGATTCTTTGTTTTTTCCCATGCACACTCTGTTTTGTTGTGAACGTGTACCCGTCTTTTACTAAGATTTCGCACATGGTATCCATTCCTCTGATGTATTCTTCTTGGTTTTTAGCCCGTTTTTCATTTTTGTTGTCCGTATATTCTGGCTTGATTTCTTTAACTTCATTGTTGTCAATCTTTAGAACGTGTAATGTGATGCTCCGATCTTCGATCTTATACCTATATCTTCGCACTGTCACTTCATGGCCTTCTTTAATCAATGTACAAATTAAATACGACTGCTGGTAATCGTACCATTCCTTTGTTTCCTTTCGAGATCGTCTTAATATCTCAATTCGATGTGTATCCATTTGATTTATGAGTTGGATCTTAATCGCACAAAACCCTATAAATACAACGATTAAATTGAAATGAACAGGTTTAATGGTAAGCGCTTGGATGCGGATACAAAGGTAGTGAATCAAAAACTTTGATTTTGAATTTTGGTACAATAAAATAAATACAGAAAAATAAAAGTAAGAATTGGTATGACTTAAAGATTGATGGAATCCAACAGTTCGGAGAAACTGGTGATATCATTTCTAACAGACTTGAGTGATTTTGCCAGTTGTTCAACACTTTTGAGGATAACTAGTCTTCTTCTTCGTAGGAGAACGATTGTTTCGTTTTCATTGTCATATTTTGGCTTTTTCTCTGTAATTTCCTTGTTGTGTTTCTTCTTCTCGTCTTTTCTTTCCTGTTGGCTGTACGTCAACTGAGTTGCAATGAATGATTCCGATTCCGATTCCGAGTCTGACTTGTTGTCTTTCTTGACTGGGACTTCTTCCCATTCATCACTGTCGACAGTGATTGAATTGCTTTCGCTTGTGTTTTCGCTTGATCTTTCGTTGTTGCGACTGAGCTGCTTTGACATCGACCCATTTTCGAGATTGTGGGATTGTTTAAGTTGCTACGTTCACTTCTTTCAACCTGGAAAATATAGTACTTTATACTTCATGAATTGTTTGCTGTTCCATTTTGGATGCGCCTATAAATATCCCGATTGGTATTTGTCCGTGAAAGTGTCCACAAGAAGTGTTAGGTTTGTGCCGTGGGGATACTACTGAAAAATGTACTATATCGAGTATTTTGTTATTCGTTTTGTTGTTTGTTTTTTGAAAAATGAAGGGATTGATACAGGAAATTCAAGAAGTGGGTGTTGATTAGGAACAAATCCCATTTTGTTATGATCAATCGGTGGATTATATCCCCATTTTGGTTTATGACTGATTGTTCATCCTTTTGAATTGGAACGGATCATTACTATTCATTACTATTCACTCATCGGGTCTATTTATAACACTCAAATTGGGTTTTTGCAAGAAATCCTCCGTTAATTGAATAATGGTATTTTCCATCCTCAATATTCGGGTTATTAGCATAATTTGTGTTTTCCGAAATATCCGTTAGCTCCGTTAGTAGGATTTACTCGTAAAATTGGGTTCATTTCCTGTTTTTTAACAATACTTATCTATTGAATAGCCATTCCATGGAATTGTTTGGGATTGTTTCTTAATAATAGGTCATTTTCCCTTTAACGGACTTAACGGATTAAGCTGAAAAGAATTATAGTCCTAATTTCCCACTTCTTCCGTTGATTCTCGCCTCTTTTTTCTCAAACGGACAATTTCTTCAATATTGCCAAATCCATGCCTATTAATAGCCCCAAATTGCTCAAAAGCTGAAAACACTCCGTTATTGCTATATCAGACCATTTGTAGTCCATTTATCGGGTTATTAGCATATTTTCTCTTTTCCGTTTACTCCGTTAGTAGGAAATCATCCTATTATTTGGTTGTTTTCCCGATTTTTCATTGAATATCAATATTTTTGGTACTATTTCATTTTACTATATTGTATAGTATTGTACTTAATTGTATAGTATTGTACTATATTGTATAGTATTGTACTATATTGTATAGTATTGTATAGTATTGTATAGTATTGTATAGTATAGTATTGGTAGAGTAAAGTATACTAGTAGTTCAATTAAAATAAAATAAAATAAAATAGTATTGAGTAGAATTGTTTTAATAATTCTCTCTAAAGTATAGTATAATTTGGTAATTTCCGGGAAAAGTCCTATAAATCATCCTAACTTCCCTTTAACGGACTTAACGGAGTTGTCTGAAAGTTACAAAAAATGCTAATTTCCCGATTTGAAGGACTCAAATTGACTCTTATTTCCCCTAACGGACATTTTATTGGGTTTGCCCCTTTTTGAAGTTATTTTTGGCATTTTATTCTCTCTTTTTGTCTTACTATTTGTTATGGTTTCTTTTACAATAGTTGCATAAAGTTGAGGAATCCAATCATCACACTGGAGTTATCTTTCTAAGATCAGCAAATCAGATACAGTTCTTGTCTCTTGGAATTATCCACAAGTGGAACAAGTATAGTTCATTTACTACAAAGTACTAGAATGACTCAATTCGTATCGTCTCATAACACTTATTCATCCAAAACAGCCAATCAAAAACTTGTTATTCTCATGGAATAATTCTAATCCACTATAAGTATTGTTATTTTACTATAAACTACTAGAATGATTCTGTATCACAATCATCACACTGGAGTTATGATCTCAAATACAATAACATTCGCAGTTCGAGTACTACTTATTCAAATCTCGTATCTCAGTTGACAATGAGCAGCAGTATCAGCAGCAGCAAAGGAGAAAGCAGCAGCCATAGCATCAACAGAGAACCAAGCAGCAGAGAAGAAGGCAGGAAAGAGCATCATCTCCTTGATGATGAAGACTTTGTTCTCTACTATGATATGTTTGCTAGAAAAGAATTATATGATGATAATGATAATGATAATTTTAATCCGGATGAATTCTCATATAAATCTAACGACCAACAGTTGAGTATCAAGATCAAGACGATCATCCTGGAATGGAACTGGTGACGTTCCAAAATCAAGACGGGACAACCTACGAAGCTTGGATTTAAACAATTTTCCAATTTTAATTTTTGTTTTAAACAATCATTTGTAATTTCTTGTAATTATAGTATACTAATAGTTCGATATACTAGTAATTTAACACGAATAAAAATAATAGGTAATTGTATTAAGTAGAATTGTTCTAATAATTCCCTCTTTTTTTCTTACTATTTGTTATAGTTTCATTTACCACAGTTACATCGAATTGAGAATCCAATTTTCACACAGGAGTTATTTTTCTCGATCATAAAATCAGATACAGTTGTTGTCACTTAGAATTATCCCAGAATGGAATACACCCCAGTGCCAACAGTTATCATCGACAAGAACTACACCGTAATCACAATCAATAAAAACAAAATGACTATTAAATCCCCAATTGTGTTTGTGTCAGAAAACAATTCGTTCGAACCAAAAATCGTCATATGGATCAAGGAAAGCATAAACAAAATCTTTCTGAAAGCGAGACATGAAACGAAGGAAATATATTTAAAATTTGTCTGTATTTGCGAGGAACGAAAGGCATTTCTGAATCGCATTTGGAAATATAAGCACGGGAATATCATTGATATCCTTGGTGTGTATGATACAAACCACTACTCTAGTAACAATCTTGTTGCAGAAGCAAACTATGGGATAGCAATGGAATGTGGCACACCACTCCGTTGTATTGTGGAAGGGAAGAAATACGTCCAAGATATCTCTGTGGAATCATGTTTCTTCATGAGCAAGGAATTGTTCACATGGACATCAAGCCCGACAATGTTGTTGTTGTGAATGGGATTGCTAAGATCATCGACTTTGAGCTTGCACGCACACTTGTGAAGAATAAACACTTCAAAAGCTTTTGCTGCACACGAAGATACCTTCCCGAATCAAAAACACTGAGAGGAATGTGTTATGGGTCTGACATCTGTTGTCTTGGATACACAATCCTTGAATTATTCACGTCTGGGTACAATTTCGACTTACAGGATTTACTTTTGAATGAAAACATACAACACAAAGGATTTCTCCTCAAAATGACATGCGACGACTGCGAAATGCGACCATCTATCGGAGAAGTATACAACTACTTTAACTTGGTTTCTTTTTAACGGAAAAAAACAATTGAAAATCAATCATCTAACTTTGCAAGAATATCATTGATTTCATCGTCATCTATTTTTGGATTGAAAAAAAACAAGTAAAAGTAAAAATTGTATTACTTAAAGATAGAATGAATCCAACAGTTCGGAGAAACTGATGATATCATTTTTAACGGATTTGAGTGATTTTGCCAACTGTTCAACACTTTTGAGGATAACCAGTTTTCTTCTTTGCATGAGGATGTTTGTTTCGTTTTCGTTTCTTGGCTTTTTCTCTGTAATTTCCTTGTTGTGTTTCTTCTTCTCGTCTTTTCTTTCCTGTTGGCTGTACGTCAACTGAGTTGCAATGAATGATTCCGATTCCGATTCCGAGTCTGACTTGTTGTCTTTCTTGACTGGGACTTCTTCCCATTCATCACTGTCGACAGTGATTGAATTGCTTTCGCTTGTGTTTTCGCTTGATCTTTCGTTGTTGCGACTGAGCTGCTTTGACATCGACCCATTTTCGAGATTGTGGGATTGTTTAAGTTGCTGCGTTCACTTCTTTCAACCTGGAAAATATAGTACTTTATACTTCATGAATTGTTTGCTGTTCCATTTTGATGCGCCTATAAATATCCCGATTGGTATTTGTCCGTGAAAGTGTCCACAAGAAGTGTTATGTTTGTGCCGTGGGAGAGATCGGGATGATTAGGATCGATTAGGAAAGTGTCCATAGTGTCCACACCTGTCCACATAGGGAAATTGTGGAAAGATGTGGGTGACATCCCGAAGATTGACTTGAAACATGGAGAATAGAGAGTTGCCGTTTCGATACTCCCATTGAATTCTAGTGAATACTAATAAATAGTATTGAATAATAATACTAATAGATAATAATAAATGATACTATAATTCCATGATATACTAATAGATACCAAATAACTTCCAATTTATAATATCATACTTAATAATACCAAATAACTTCCAATACTAATAAATACTAATACCAATAAATACTATAATTTAATACTAAAGAGTTAAAAGTGTAATTTGGCAAAAGTATAAATCATTGGTAATATGTACAATATCGGGTCTTCAACCGAAATTTGCTTTCATTTCCCTTTATGGACACCAGTGGACTATGTGGACAATATGCTTACATTAGATAGAATACTCACACGACTGCGCGGCATTTCCCTGTCATGGAATTTGGACAACTGAACACCCCAAAAGGTATCAAATCTATTTTCGGATACTCCTTGTTATTTGTTATTCGTTTTGTTATTTGTTGTTTGAAAAATGAAGTGATTGATACAGGAAATTCAAAACATGTGTGTTGATGAGGAACGTTTCCCATTTTGTTAAGTGTATATTACCCAACAAATATTCATTTTTTAAAAATTGCCTCATTTTTGAAAGTGAATTCCATTTTAAAATAACATTTTGAATCAATGAATTGACCAATCAGATTTGTGTCTATTAATACCTTGTTAGGGATTTTTTTTAAAAAGGTCCATGATTAATATAGGTTGAATGCCGTGTGAAATAATGGGATGATTAGGATGATTACGATTATTCCATGCCGTTCCACTGAAGTCCACATAGGGATTGTTTCGGTGAATTAGGTTGATTTCCTGAAATACAACTGTTTTTACCACATTTCAAATAACTAAATATTTTATATTCTATTTTTGTTTTACCAGTTCTATGCTAATTTATTCAATTTCATGTAATTATATGGGATTTTTAAGTTGGATTAGGAAGAAATCCCTATTTGGATCGCTGTGGAACACAGTGGAAATATCCTAATGAGAGCATTACGCCCGGTATTTAGCTCGGCATTTTCCTGTTATGGGTGATGGACAATTTTTTGGACCACAGCCAATGAGAATATTTATAGCACCAGTTCTCAAGGTATAGTATGTTATGGTTTCTTTTACAATAGTTGCATAAATTTGAGGAATCCAATCATCACACTGGAGTTATCTTTCTGAAATCGCCCAATCAGATGCAGTTCTTGTCTCTTGGAATTATCCACAAGTGGCAACTATAGTTCATTTACTACAAAGTACTAGAATGCCTCAATTCGTATCGTCTCATACCACTTATTCATCCAAAACAGCCAATCAAACACTTATTATTCTCATAGAATAATTCTAATCCACTACAACTATAGCTTATTTACTATAAACTACTAGTATGATTCTTTATCACAATCATCACACTGGAGTTATGATCTCAAATCCAATACCATTCGCAGTTCGGGGACTACTTATTCCGATCTCGAATCTTAATTGCCAACATCAATGAGCATACAGGAGACAAGTAGAGGAAGAAGCAACAGCAGGGAACCTAGAAGCAACGTAGACAAGAAAAAAGTCCCCAAGATTGTGGGATATGCCACATTTAATAATTCTTATGGTTTGGGGGTATTGGAAGAATGTATACTTCAGACGTATGCTCCGAAGAGCCAACCAAGCAATGTCAGCTGGTATCTAGCCAGAAAAGATACCGTAGATCAAGTTATTAATTGGGACACAAATTCATATTTGACAATTAAAGACGGGGAAGATGTTGACCTTCTGAAATACATCGTTGTATATACTGTTGTATTCGCATCCAAGAAGCTCTGTAAAGTAACACAGACTATATTCAGTAAGGACAATACCATCATTATCCTTAATCCGGTCCAATGTACTAGGGATTTTGCAGAACAAGTAATGTTCCGGTCATTGTTTATGGCAGAAAAGTCAACAAGCAGAGGAGAAACAATGGGATTTATAATGGATAGAAACGCAATAAAGAGTGTAACAAGGTCCAAATTAATATCAATGGCATCTAAATCAAGAACAACGAAGGAGGCAAATGACATCCTTGTTTCAAATTTTGGTGTTGTCGAGGCATACGAGCTAATGAAAGTCGTGGATAGAATACGTCCAAAGAGAAATCGATTCTAACGATTTGAGGAAGAACGAAAAATGAACAATTTGAAACTTATCAATTGTGAGTTTGTTGATGTAGTAAGGAATTGGATAAGAACCACATTTGGAACAAACAGTGTCAGAAAAAACAACCTTATTCTCATTGGAAAGAGCAACATTGGGAAGAGCGTCCTCTTCAAATACCTTATGTTCCCAGAAATGAAAATTCCGTTTGAATCACTTGTCGATTACCAAAAAGGAGACGGAAACTTCACATACTACAGTGAGGAGGCAGACTATGTAATGAGAGTATTCGATGATTTCACATCAAATGGGGTGAACAGCGGTACGATAAAGAACCTCATGGGTGGTGAAGAATTCAAATCTAGAGTACTAAGAGATGTAAAAAATGTATATCCAGTTCCATTTGTACTCCTATTTAACCCGGAAGAATTCCGCAATTTTGTACATGAGTTCAACTCTGACAAATGGCTTGAGGAAAACTGTACCATATTCCCGAAATTTAACTTCAATGATTTCCGCATTAAAGGAATTAGATACGAAATACCTTACTGGAAAGATAAGATTTACGATGAGAGAAGTATTGAAAGGGTGACAGAATACGACTTCTTGATGACTTCTGTTCTTGGACTCAGTGGTGATGAACTAGAGAACATCATCGAGGATGTAACAATGGAAGGATACCCAAATTACGTCAAGATACAGAAGGCTATTACTAAGGAGAAAGATGAGAGTCAAGTTGTCACTCAAGTCCCTATTCCAATCAGGACAGTCCAACCAATGGAGGAAGTACACCAGAGCAACGAGATGGAGGTTGAAGTAGCTCCACCAGAAGACATGGGGTTCATCCAAACAGGATACTCCCAACAATACATCTAATCGAATCCTTTTTACTTGTTTACTTTCTTTCTTTGGAAATATACTCACGCAAAAGAACTTAAAAAATAGATAACAATGAGTATCAAAGGTGTAAACGAGAATTCCGTTCTTGATGAGAACATTGTCACATACTCGACGCACCTGTGGTACGAACATATCTTGAAGGAACTGTTTTCGGAATACATCTTGATCTACAAAACACTCTGTCAAAGCATTTCAGATCAAGATTACATCGAGCAGAAGATAAAACTTGCAAAGAAGATCCGTGAGATTGTAGACACAATCAACGATTTCAGAAGAGACCCATCATGGGAGATCCAGAAGAAACTCGATGGTGGAATTTACGTGAATTGAATCTTTCTTATCTTTAAATTGTATATGGAAGAGGAAAAAAGAGAAATAACATTGTCCCCTTTTGGGACCCGCGGCTTTGAAAACAATAAAGATATCGATTCGATTCTAATGGAAAAGACTCCACAACAGTTGGTATGTGCTCGACAAGGAGCAGGCGGTAATAGCATGAAATATCTCGAAGGGTTTCGCGCAATAGAGATTGCAAACGCTGTGTTTGGGTATGACGGGTGGTCCGATGAGGTAAAACAATTCATCCCACAGAATCCAGGGTGTGTACTGTCAATTGTCCGGATCACTTTGAAGAATGGATGCTACCACGAAGATATTGGATTTGGTTCTTCAGCACTTAAGACCAACCCACTTGAGATAGCAGCTAAGGAATCCGTCACTGACGCCCGAAAAAGAGCACTTCGATTGTTTGGCAATTTACTAGGAAATTCATTATATGATGTGAATTATACAAGAAACATCGTACCAAATAGTACAAACAAAAGAATTATCACACAACCAGTCAATTACACGGAAATCGTTTCCGAAGTTGAAAATTCAAAAAAGGTAATCGAAGAAAAGATTAATCAAAGTTCGAAGTAAGAATTCTGTTAAAGAGATCATGAATTTATATATTCGTTGATCAAGTCTTCGCTGTCGTATTTTGGACATTCTTCTTCCATGTTTACATCTGCTACGTTATCATCCTTTGGTTCAGCAGTTATCTCTTCCACGTTTACATCTGCTACATTTCTATCCTTAGGTTCAGCAGTTATCTCTTCCATGTTTAAGACTTCTTTCAAAACCTCTTTAACGTCAGCGCTTTCTTTAACGACATTAGGATTACTATCAAATTTCTCCGTGTCTTTTATAATAATCGGATGATTACTATCGATTGAATTGATTACGTCCATAATTTCTGGGTCTATAATCTCCATTTTTTGACATGAAACATTTCTTGGTGTTGGAACCGCAATCTTTCTTCTGTTAGTTTCAAAAACTATACGTTTATGTGGGAAATCATCAAACGATTGATCAATACTATTCCTCTCCGAATCAGTCATTAATTTCAATTTCGACTCTAACTTAGGTATGAACAATCGATGTTGTGATACCCTTTTCACTTCTTTTGTCCCATTCTTTTTATCATTTAAGACACTCATGCATGCGTTGTACAATGCCTCTCTATTTGAGAAATCAAAATCCTCGGAGCTACATTCGCTATTGATCCTGTACGTACCTCTCCCCTCCTTTACAATTTCAATTCCGCTGATATAAGTTAGGTGAAATGAAAGCGTACACATGAGAAATCTTGTTGAATCTCTTTCGAACATGTAGAAAACTACGTCTCTAATACTGTACTCTCTGTACCCGTTTCCAAAGAACATTGTTACTATTTCGTCAAAAACAGACATTTGCATTTCAAGTTCTGCACGTGACCTATTTTCCCCCTCGATGCTAAAACTTGTTGAGAGGAGGCAGCAAACGCCTTCGGTAAGGTCGAAGTACTTGACAAGGGTAATTTGTGTTATGTCGAGGAAATCAAATGAGACGCACTTATGCTGGTACTGTTTGTTCTGTACAAACGTGATTTTTTTTCGATTCAAGTACAATCTCGTATATGTTTGGATAGTAACCGTACAAATGCATTTTCGGAGAAATAATCTTTGTTTTTACACCCGTTAATGCTCTAATAACAATGAGTGGTGTTGTTTCATAGCAAAGAAACGAAGAAGCAAGAATCAGATTCACTGTACTTGTTTTTATCCTGACCATCATCTTTTTTTAAGGAGCGTCGTTTCTACCTGGGAAAGCCACGTGTTTTCCGTGAGCTGAATCAAATCATTCCTTTCGATTGTTTCATTAAGGACTCTGTTACCAAACAAAACTGTTCGATTTGTGTCGACAATATTTATTGCAGTGTCGATTGCAGGATTGATATACCACGCACCAATGTACATTTTCGACGGGTTCTGAATTGAAAACCCAGTGAAACACAAATCGATTGCATGTTGCATTAAAGGTATGAATTCTTTTACAATTAACGTGATACTAACACGTGTTCCTTGATATACATTTGTCATACTCTTTGTTGATTCGAAGTACCATGTCATTTCGGACGTTATATAATGTTCGTTTTCAAAAAGAAGCTGATCCGTGATAAAGCCACACATTGCCGTCTCTTCGTCGTTTGTTAAGTACACGACAACAGGATTTGTTTCATCTCTCTTCTCTGTCACAAATAGCTCTCGAATGCTTTGTGCATCAACATGAGATGGTTCTGCTTCGTTGTATTTCCATGCACCCGTGGGAAACGTGTCATGAATCTTGTAGAAAATTGCGTCCAATATCTTTTTCTTCTCGATCTTGCCATATTTCGCGTAAAACTTGCCATTCATAAGCATAATCTCCATGGGCGATAAAACTGAAATTACAAATAACTTGGCGGTATTTATAGACGGCGGAGTATACTATCAGGCATGCATCCAAATGATTCGAAAACAACGAGAAATGTTGTCGTTTGTGGATCGCTTCTCATTCACAATCGTAAAGCTTTCCGAACTAAGGTCGCTGCGGTTGAAGAAGGTAAAGAACCTGTTCATTTATTATCTTGGTCATACAATACGTAAAGGAGACACGTATTTGATGATTTACAAGGAATTCACCATCAACGAGGAAGGGTTTGCACGCGTTGTTAATGGGTTTGATGCGGAACGTCAGGTAATCTACCTTTTTAATTTTTTACAAAAAAATATTAATAAAATAAAATTAAATAAAAATTAATATATAGTAAAATAAAATTGTATTAATATAATCATCTACATTTCAACTCAAAATTAAAATTTTAAAAACAGGAATAATATAATATAATATATATTATAATAATTTCATTTAAGTTTTAATTCTGAATATTGAATGCGACAAACAATAATATACAAAGAAAAATAATATGAGAATTAAAATAACATATTTAAAAATTATATTTTCACAGTATCTATAAACGCTATTAATTTTATAATAATTAAAGGTTGTATGATATTAAAGTTTACAACATCAAATAAATCTGAAAGAGAAAAATAAAAATAAAAAATTTAATCATAGATATGTGTAAGTCTAATTTAATGTGAAAGTAATGTTATAATTTTTATGTTATAAACTAGTAGTAAAAATAGAAATATTATTTTATCAAATATATAAGGCGTTGAATATAACCAATATTATGAAAATAATTTAACCATAAGATTATATTTCACAAATGAATAAATATCAACATCTTAAAAAACATTATTTAAGTTTTATACATTTATATTATGAATACTAATAAAAAATAACCACTAGTAATGGTATCATTAAATTTTTATATAATTAAAGTAATATTCAAAAATTCTTCTCATAAATGAAAATAAGTTGTTTGTTTAATTTTTCATGTTTATTCATAAGGTTTTATTTCAAGTTAAAAAAATAATTATTCATAGAATTAAAAATATACTAAATTTGTATCTAAATATTAACACTAAAACAAAAAAATTCAAATAAATAAAAATTCAGCATACATCATGGTTAATAATAAAGTGTATAAAAGATGGTTCCACCCGGGTTTGAACCGGGGACCCTCACTACGTGAAAGTGATGTGATAACCAACTACACCATGAAACCTTATATTAGTATTAAGTTGTCTTCAGTTATAGAAATAACACAAGTCTTTATAAGACTAAAATTTCATATAATCTATCAAGGGTAATATGATAAGAAGAAAAATAAAAATGTAGACATACAAAGTCTTATATAAAAATGGTTCCACCCGGGTTCGATCCGGGGACCCTCACCACGTCAAGATGATGTGATAACCAACTACACCATGAAACCATCTGATATTATCTAAGTTTTATCAAACAATATATTTACAAATTATATATTTATTAAAAAATACATATAAAAATATCATTTATTCACAATGTTAGGGTATCACAGTATTAGGATAAAAATTGTATGCTTCCAGTCGGGTTCGAACCAACGACCTTTAGATCTTCAGTCTAACGCTGCTACCAGCTGAGCTATGGAAGCTTACATATTATATGTCTTATTTGCTTGCAGGATACTTCAAAATGAAAATATATTTTTAAAATTAAAATAAACCTATTAACTAAAGTTTGCATCAAGAACTAAATAATAAAAAAAACCATTTTGAGATCGATATAATAACGGTAACAATTTTAATGTGGTCTAAGACTTTTCTTTTTATTTATTTTATGGAATGAAATATTAATAGGAAAAAATATGAATTATACAATTACTGAATGGTGTAGTCTAATAAGTTTTTACTTTCGGTAGGTTCATATCAAGTAGGATACACCCGTTCCCATCTGAACACGGAAGTAAAGATGCTTAGAGCCTGTTTAGTACCATTATGTTCACACAGATGGGAACGTCAGGTAATCTACCTTTTTATTTTTTGTAAAATTACAAATATTTATATTTTTTATATAATAGAAGTACACATAAAAAGGACAAAAAGACGAGCTTGGCAGGGATCGAACCTGCAATCCCCAGATTCGTAGTCTGATGCGTTTCCATTGCGCCACAAGCCCAATTGAACATTATTTGTTCATTTAGTTATTATGCCAGTCGGTTTATTTTTAAGATCTTTAGTTTTTATTTGTTTTGTACTAAACGAAATAAAAAGTTATATTAATTAAACTAAAAAATTAACATCTAAAAAAATAATAAAGTATAATAAATAAGAAATATATTATTAAATTATAAAATAACGAAAAATTAAAATTTGTAAATTAATAGGGTTTCTATACATTTTATAACATGTATTAATTTAAAATATTAAAAATATAAAGATAGAAAATATTGTAACATTAAAATAATCAATATAATAGAAGTCTCCAATAGTATAGCTGGTTAGTATCTTCGCCTGTCACGTGAAAGACCGGAATTCGAATCCCCGTTGGAGAGTTCCTTTTATTTTTTTACTTATGACAATAAAAATTAGAATAATTATATATTTTATAGATATAGTTAAATATTAATAATAAATAACTTTATTAAAAACCGGTATTAATGATTACTAAATTTTTTAAAATATTGAAGTTTTTATGATATTATTAATTTGTAGAATCTTAAAGGCATAAAATAAAAGTAATATGTATCCATTGTGGTGTAGTTGGTAACATGCAAGCCTCTCACGTTTGCGCCCCGGGTTCAATTCCCGGCGATGGAACTTTTTGTTTTATTATAGTCTTGATGTTTATAAAAATAACAAAAATAGTATTATAATTAAAGCTATCACCTAAAATCATTGAAATATTATATATGTGAAAGCGGGGTGGCGCAGTGGTAGCGCGGCAGGCTCATAACTTGCAGGTCGGTTGATCGAAACTTCCCTCCGCTGTTTTTATATTTTATACTTTTAAGTCATTTGTTGAGCGTTTTATATTTTTTGTAATAAAAAACACATTATGAGAATGTAAAGAAGAATAATATGAATTAAAAAGTGGTTCCGCCCGGGATTGAACCGGGGACCCTCAGTACGTAAAACTGATGTGATAACCAACTACACCACGAAACCTTCTTAATAATAATACTTATGTTTTGTTTGAACTTGCTTTTTACTTTTTGAAAATAACCATATATTTTATTATATTATTAAATTCTTTTTAATTTAATTAGTCAATGTATAACAAATTCGTTTTTTTATTATTGTTAACAAATATATATTTACAACTCGGAATAAATTGTATAATTTATAATATAAATATGAAAATAAAATAATACAATAAAGTATTATAAATAATGAGTTCTGTATAAAATCTGAATTTATATAACGACCACAATTAATCGTTTAAAAAAAATAATTTCATGGAATTATATTTTTAGAATAAAACTTTATCCATTAATTAATGCATATCTTTAAATTATTAATAAAGCAAAAAGTTCATCTTCGAGAAATATTATTATTAATATATTTGTATACCACAAATCAAAAACCTTATTTTTTCTTTGGTTTGTTTTTTTCAAAATATAATAATGTTTTAAAAGTACTTTTTTATTTATTATCATTATTTATTTATTTTACCAAAATACTTTTTTGAGACACTTTTTAAATTATAACTTCCCCAAAATGATTTCGATTGTTAAATTATTTTGTAAAAGTATAAATAAATAACGAACGATAATTTATATTATAAATTATATATTATTAGAAACAACAACAAAACTTATAATATTAAATGTTTTTTATATGAAAACTTAATAATAATCATCTTATTAATTTCACCACTGTTTGATCGTTTGAAAGTGATTAATTTTACAAATTTCAAGTCTCCTTTTATAAGATTCAATAGGTGTGTTTATTTCTTTGCGTCCTATTTTATTCCACATTTTTTCAACGTTTTGAAAAATTTCCATTTCATTCATTCCAGCTGTAATCTCAATTCATCTTTTAATTATTGACCAGACATTTTCAATTGGATTTAAATCTGGGGAATTTCCTGGCCATCCCTGAAGTAATTTAAATTTATTGTCATATAAATATTTTGGTGTTTTTTTTTGATTTGTGTAGAGGGGCGTTGTCTTGCATAAAAATGGATTTTTCCCACACTTCTTTTGAATAGAATTGATTAAATCATTTTCTTTGAACATTTGTATGTATTTGTCTGCATTGATTTTTCCGTGCAACCGAATTAACTTACTTTTATAATTAGGACCAATGGCTCCAAAAACCATCACAGATGCAGTGTGTTTTGGAAGAAAAGTGTAATATTTGGAATTTTCAGAATGTGGTTGGATCGACAATCTTTCACAAGACAAAATCTACATTCATCTGCATACACGATTTTGCGAGGTTTTTTCCCACTTTTTTCTATATTTTGAATCATTTTCAATTCAGCAGTTACAAAGCTTTTTCTATCCAATATATTTTTTAAAGAAAGGAGTGGTTTTTTTCGGTGAAATTTTATATGTAAAGTTATTTTTCGTATTCTGTTGACTGTTGTAGCTGAAACCTTTGTTTTATGGAATTTTGACAATTTTTGGCACATTGAATACCACTTTCTTTGGGATATTTTTTAGTTCGTTTTATCACCAACCTTTTTATTTTATCTCGTTGTTGTTGAACTTTTTTAACAAAAAAGACCGTTTTAAATCAAAGTATTTGTATATTCGAGCCTTGCCAGGTGCTACTATACCATTTTCTCTTAAAGCACGGATGATATTATTGGGAGTGCAAATTCCACTTTTAATACATTTTTCTATATTTACTTCTTTTGACACTTCTTTATCAAGTATTATGATAGCTGAATTCAACAATAGATTTTTTGACTTAACTGAAATGATATCTTATTATGAGGTTGTTTGTTTCATAAACATTCTTACCTCTTTCATGAATACATCATTTTTATCTTCCTCAACATAATCAATTGGTAATAAAAATGTTTGTTTTGTTGAAGTTCCACTTCCAATTAACACATCACAAGTCTTCTCAGTTAATCCAAATGGTCCTTTAAATGCTTCTTCCAAATTTTTAAGTTGATATTCATTACAATAATCAAGAAGAATACTTTCGTATATTTCTTCGTTATTAATTTGACATAAATAATAGTTGTGTAATTGTGTAACTTATATTTCACCCGACAGAATTTTCTCGTGCAATCTTTTAAAGGTAATTGTTGCATATTTATTTTTGAGTATTTGTGGTTTTATTTTGATTGTTTAACCTCACTTGTGTTTGAAGTTATTGTTTTACTTTTATTGCAAAAAATATCTTTAAATGCACTTTTGATTTGTTAATACAAAAAATGAAGACCAAAAAATGGTCTGTTGGTGGTCCAGTAAAAATAGAAAAAAAACATGGGTCCACTCAGAAGTTGAGGATATTTATGGCAATATTTTCAAGGCTTTTTCTTTTGCTGATCAATAGTAAAAAACACTATGTCAATTATTTTCTTTGGTCTGTTCATGGTCCTGTTTTTGGTTTATGGTATAGAGAAAATATGTTTTGTTTGTGTGACGGGTTTTTAAAATAAATAAATTGATTTTTATATGTGGTATACTTTCATTTTAAATATTTAGAAGATATGAGGTGATTTACACTATATTTTATTGTGTATTTTTGGTGAAATTAGTCTGTCTTGTAAAATTTATTGTTAAAATTTATATTGTTTAACAATTAATCTCAAAAGATATATATTAATTCATGTATTATGATTAGAATATATCACATCAAAGTTATCATATAAAATTCAAGTGTTTTACACACAACAATAATATTAATTATTATCTAAATAATATCATTTTCATAAATTTTATTTACACACATTAAAACAGTCATTAAACAATTTATAAATGAAAAATAAATTATAATATAACAGAAATTTGAAATTACACAAAGTGTAGTTAACTATTGTATATAAAAACATAGAAATATAGGTTAAAACGCAAATATCGGAAGAAAAAGAAGAGTACATACCCGCTCTTGTTATTGATAATGGCTCCCATGAAATGAAAGTTGGATTTCCAAATAGAGAATATCAAACTGTAGATTTGGTGTTTCCAAACATCATTGCTGCAAATAAAAACAATAACAATGATTATTTAGTTGGTTCCGAAGCTTTAGAAAAACGATTTGACTACAGTGTTTCGGCTCCTTTTGAATTGGGAAAATTAAAAAATAAAGACTGTCTTTCGAAGGTTTATGATTACATTTTCAAAACCCAATGCAAGGGTGACAGTCATACCCACGACATTTTCATGACTGAAGATTTCATTGATTCTAATTCAACTCGAGCAGAAATGGCCCAAATAATGTTTGAAAATTTTGAAGTTCCAAATCTTCACTATGAAACGCCCAGTTCAGCTTCAGTATATTCAGTATGTAGAGTTAACGGTTTGGTTGTTGATATTGGTGATGTGTTTACAAGAGTACTTCCCATTTATTATGAAAAACCTGACTATAATCACAGTTATAAAACTCTTTTTGGTGGAGCTGATGTATTCAATGTATTTAAATCACTAATACAACGTAATAACTATTTCAATCTTGATTTTGGCACCATTTATGATATTATAAAAAAGATGTGTTACGTTACTCAAGATGTCAACAAAGAACTTGAAAAAGAAGATAAAAGTTTTTTGAAACAATATGAATTGCCTGATAAATCCAAATTGAATTTGGCAAAAGAAACATTCTTGGCTACAAATGTTATGTTCCAACCTGAAAACTTTGTGGATATTACTGGAAAACATCAACAGGATGGTATCCCAAAAATAAAAGTAGATACTATTAAACATTGCCCTATCGATACGAGAGAGGATCTTTATGACAATATTATAATAACTGGTGGTAATACAATGTATGATGGTTTTCTCAATAGACTTAAAAGGAAACCAAAGAACTTGTTCCTGAATATGTAAACACTCGTTTAGTTGCTTTAAGTAACAGAATTTATGGTGCTTTTCATGGTTGTGCTACTTTAGCAGATTTATCAACAACCACTTACATTTCTAAAAGAGAATACGAAGAAAAGGGAAGTGCTATCTATGAAAGCAAACACTAATTTTATTTTCATTTTTTTAATTAAAAAAATACAATTATTTATAAATATAATTCAAAAACAATTTTTTAAGTTTTGTAAAAACAAATAATATAACACAGTAAAACCTCCCAAGAGAAGTACCTCTAAAAATTTGGTTCTCTCAAGAGCGTGATTTTTTAGATGAAACTAAAAATAGAGTACTCTGCCGAGCGGGTTTAAAATTTGATTGGCTAAAATTTCCCGCTCTTGAGAGAATAAAATTACCACACCATCCCGCTCTTGGGAGGTTTTACTTTATATATAATATTAAAATATACTAAAAGTTATCAAGTTAAATAAATTCAAATGTGGTACTGTTATTTACTTAGCCACCCTTCTTCCAACTTAACGTCTTTAGTTATTCCTTCTATCGTTTCTAGTTTTTCGCATTTATAAAATGCATTTTTTTGAATAAGTCTTACACTTTTTGGTATTATTACTCGAACATAATCTTTGTAATCCAAAGCGTGAGATCCGATCACAGTGACCCCCTCTGGTATTTCGTATTCAACAGACTGATCGTCTTCTTGTTCATTCCAAATTGTTTCACTTTTTACAAAAACTACATCACCAACAAATTTAAATTCGTTTTTAAAGAAATTGTAAATAAAATAAGTGACACTTTCATGTATAATTCCGTCCTTCGGTGAGTTTTCGATCACGATTTCTTTCAAACTAGAACATTCTTCAATTTCATTTTGTGTTTGTTTTTCGTTCTCTTTGATTGTTGGCAATGTCCTAAAAGTGATTTTTCTTAATTTATCGCAACGTCTGAAATTTCTAACCCCGCCACAATTTGTATATATTATAGCCTCCTCAAGTTGATCACAATAACTCGCAATGGGTTCTGGCAGTATGACATTGTTACCCAATATCGTTATTTTCTTCAAATTGTCACAATATGTGAAATTCCAGGAAATAAAAGTAACAGATGTTGGAATACAAATTTCACTGACCCCAATATAGCACATCGCTTCATATTCTATTTGCTTGCAAAAGGTAGGTACCATTCCTCCATATAAAATGACATCTTCATTATAAAAAGAATATGTTTCAACAGAATATCCACAAGATTCAAACACGTCATGTAAAAAGCATGGTGACTTCTCTACTTGTGTTCCTCCTATCAATTTTACATTTTTGAGATTTGGCATTTTACAAAGAAAATTTGGATCCAGTTTTGTGTGGAAAGTCAGTGCAGTCAGTTCGTTCATAATAGAATACTCGAAAACGTTAACATGTGATAAATCAAGTTGTTTTAAGTCGCAATTTGAAAAACAACCACTTCTAATCTCAGTGACTGTAGTCGGCAAACAGAAAGTATTCATCCCATTTTTATCTTTAAATGCGTCAAAATTCAACACCTCTATTGGGCAACTTTCAATTGACGGTTCGTATTTTTCGTCATCCAAACATAATGTGTATCCGTTAAAAACGTCTTCTTTTGTAATGATAACTTTATGTGGAAGATCGCCAAAATGTTTTGAAACGGTGATATTAATTAAACAATTTTTAAAACATTGACTTTTTGTAATAAAATCAAAATCAGTGAAAACGACGCTTTGGAGTGATGTGACGCCAATTAAAGCGTTTTCACTTATGGTTTTCAAATACCCCGAAAATGTTATTGAGGTGAGTGATTTGCATTCAAAGAAACAAGAATCACCAATAATCAAAACATTTGATAAATCAATACTTTTTAATTTGGAACATTTATCAAAACAATAATCAGGCAACTCAACGAGGTTTTTGTCGAGTTTGATTTCGACTAAATTGGTATTGTTATTAAAACAACCAAATTTAAATATTTTAACACCCGTAGCATCAAATAAGGAAGGAAAACTGAATTTATTTTCGGCAAAAGTATAGCGCCCAAAAATGGTTGCACCAACAAAACTTGTGTTATCGTGTCTGTCATTTTGGTTGTAGCAGACTTTTTCGTAAATGTAATTTGGATGTTCAGTTTTACTTTTAAGATACTTTTGGTAATCAATTTCATATTTAATGACGTATTTGAAATACCCAGGAATGATGTGTTCATTTTTGGCATGGATCACCAGTGTTTCAACATTTGAAAAAAGTTTTTCTTTGCGATTGAGAGGAATTGGGTTATAATGAAACATCGCAGGAATATCTTCAAATTTCTTGCAAACTTTTATCAATTTAATGAAGTCTCCAACTGAATAAAAATATTTTGAAACAATCATCATCGAGTAACGGTCCAACTTGATCATTATATGTTTTATTTGATATGCTTCAATTTATTTTTTTTTTATTTTTTTGTGGTTAGATAAAAGCTTAATGAAAGCTATTATCGTTAATAAATATAATTATAAAAATTTAATTAGATGGTTTTTTTAAAATTAAAATATGATTTGGAAAATGGACTAAAATATATAAAAACAAATTAAATTTTTTAATAGATATTAACAAAAATACCAAAATTAAAAAATAAACAGGTTTTCAAAATTCTGTCATGGTGTCCAGTATTATACATTTGTTTTGGTAATTATTTTTGGCAAAAAGTTTTTATTGTAAAAATATAATGTTGAATAATCTTTGATTAATCTAAACATTTTGATCAACTCCCAAACAAATTATTACACAAAAAGAAGTTTTTATTAATTATTAAATCCCTCTGTCAAATATTTTGATGTCTATAAACATGTTCGTTGATTTTGTGGACTTTTTTGAAAAATACACAAATTCTGATGGGTTTAACAAATAATTTTCAAATAATATATTCAATTCTTTTGAAACAATGCTTTTTGAAAAGGCATACATGACATTTGAAAAAAAACACAACAAAATATTTCCAAAATGATCAACAAGCTTCCAATAAAGAATTTAATACAAATAATCATTGATTGGACGTTTTATGAAAGGTCATTTAAATGTGTTTCTTTTAAAAAAAATTGTAAAAATTACAACAATGAATAAATGATGAAATTTGGAGACGTTGCAACCTTTTATATTAAAATAATAGTATAAAATTCATTGTTAATAAAATGACCAACCTTAATTATTTACATTAAAATTGAAACAATTTTCGAAAATAGTTTTGTTAGAAATATGTTTTTAGAAAAGGATCATTGCTATTTGAGTTGAATTAATTTATTTATAATATGTTAAAACACTTTTTTGTGAGCAAAAAATTTCAATTTTACTTGATAAACATTATAAAATGAGTCAATTTACCAAAATCATTAATAGTTAAAAATTATAAAGCCAACGAAATTAAAGGACAATTTACTCAAAGTGTCGAGACTGTGTAGATTGTTGTTATGTACAACTCAACAGTCTATATAAAAACGATAAAGATGAAGAAAAGAAACAAAAATATAAGTCAAAGTGATAAACACTTTTACATTTGTAAATGTTGAAGAGTTGTATTTGTTTGGAAACAGCAATTTTCACTTTGAGAAATTTGAAAAGTTCAAAATGATAAACATGTTTGACATAAAAAAACTTGGAGGTGTTTATTAATAAAAAATGTGAAAAGAATATCATTCTAATTAATTGCAATGAGCACGTTTGAACAAATATGAACTATGTGGCACTTTTTTGAAAGAAGTGATCAATTTATATTCGAATTTAAATATCTAAAAAACAACTTGAATGTTACTTTATTTGAGTGCTCTGAAGAAAAATTATATATGATACAATCTATATTAAAATATAAATACTCTAACTTTAATATTATAATAAATACCAAAACAGATAAAATGGTATCGAACAAATCAAGTCACTAAGTTATTATATTATCCAAAAAATATTCGTTAAAAAGTCTTAAAAGCATTAACTTTTGTGGAAATTTTGCAGATTTATCAAACATAACTTGTGGTGTCTTTCAATTGGAAAATTGCAAATTTGTAAGAGATTTGAAAATGTAGTTTTTGTATGTGTGACATTCAATTTGGTTGAACTTTATATCAAATAATGTGACACTTTAAAACAGTTTTGAAAAGATACACACATATGGTCGACATTGTCGAATCAAATATCTATTTTTTGTATTAATGAATGTAAGGTTGATAAAACTAGCATTAATGCCTTTTTAAATAAATGTTTTTCTAAGAATGTTCAATTTGAGAATTATCAAAATTTACTTGTGTCGACCAATAAAAAAACTGAGCACATCATTTTACATTATTGAAAATATTGTTTAGTTATGTCAAAAACACCAAAAAATATCGAACAAATTGATTGCAAAGAAGTTAAAATTTTTAAGAAAATGAAACCAAGTTTCAAAGACAAAACTAAAACTATTTTCAAACAATCAACAACATGTTTTGGTACATATATAAAACATTAAAAATATTTTCAGTTGTTTAATTACTTTACTTGATTGGTGTTATTTAACAAGTTAAAATTATATATAAATATTTGTTGGATATTAAAGTGACTTTTTTAATCAAGAAAGAAAGTAACTTTAATTTGTTCAATTATTAAAAAAAATCTAAGTAAAAAAATCTTTCATTCTGTATTTAAATGACATCCATTTTCACACCTTAAATAACATTAAACAATCGTTAACTAGTTAAAAAAATTATATTTTTTCCTGTTTTTTAACTGTTTATTATGTTCATTAAATTACACAAGCAAACATAAAAAACATCAAAAATGGCTATATATTAACGAAAATGGGTTAGTTTAAAAACAAGAATATTATTTTAAGTGTTAATGTAAAAATTTTAAAAAAATGAAAATGGGTTGAAAAGTTTATAATAAACTTGTTTCATAAAAGCGTCATTTTTTCAGTTAGGATTTTGTAAAAAAAATAAAAATTAATAATATTATAAATTACTTATTATCATTAGTCTTGCAACATTAATGTAATTTATTTTTTTGTACAACAGTTTACTTTAACTTTCAATGTACTTGTTTAATTTTTTGTGGTATTTTTTAAACAAAAATGACATGCTTTTGAAAAATTGTTTTTAGTAAATATTTATATATTATAATGTTCTTTTCAAATATAATTACAATGGCTTTATTGAATTAAAGTAACAACTACAAACTGGCCAATTATTGATTGATCAGTTTTTAATTTTTGAATATCTTAGCAGTTTATTACTTAATTGATTAAAATGTTGGTATATTGTATTGTTTTGTAATTCTTTTATTAATACAAGTTTTTAAATTTTGTTTTTTAGACTTTGTTAGGTCAAGACTTTTATTAAAATTAGTTGTTATACGTAATTTATTTCTACAATTATTTATATGATTTTCAAAAAATATACCTTTTGATAAATATAAACAATTTGTTCTTCAATTGGGAATATAATAATTGATTTTGTCAAAGTTTCTCCAGTTATCTAATTTGTATCAACACATTTATCTTTAAAATGAATGAAACGATACAACTTTTTAAATCAGAAATTGTTTAAAAATCGATGTAATTTTCAAGTAAGTCACTCCAATAATAATTATATACAAACTGACACATCATAATATCAGGAAAACTTGAAATGTTAACTATTTATTTTTTTGCATCAAATTTGTTTATTTTTTAATGTTCAATTATTTACAAATCATTTTATCATTTGTGATTAATTGAAACACTAATTTTAATTTCAACAAAATTTGGTAATGATCAACAATTTTACTTAATATCAACAATTAATCGAATTACTTTATTAAATTAAATTGAATTATGTCATTTATATCCAAAACATATTTTAATATAAATAATAAAATACATTTTACCTTATATTTTAATCATAATAAAAATGTGAAATGATTGTTTTTATTTTTTAGTGTTAAAAATGATTTTTTTTGTTTCTAAAAATTGTAATAATAATGACGATTTTATGGATAAGAAAAAATAACAGGGAAATAAAATAAATTTCAAAATGATAAAGAGGTCATACACTTTTTTGTTTCAATTTAACATCAAGAAATTATATTTTTCATATAACCACACCTAATGAAAATATATAAAATTTAAATATCTTAGGTAAAAATTGCATTTTTTTACCTCTAATTGAGGGCAGTGACAAATTAATGAAAAGAGTTTAGTTATCAGAACAATTAATCTCAATATAAATAATCAATCCCAACTTAAAATCTATTATCTAACTATCCAATTTGGTGTGTTTGTTGTAAATTTGTGTGAAGCTACTGGTGAACATGTTGTATTGTTCCAAAATATTGTTTTGTTTATTACTTTATACCCATCAATACCAATATAACACTATCTTTGTTCGCATAATACACTTTTCATATCAACTTCTTTAAATTTACCATTATAAAAGAGCCAATTGATCAATGCTTGGTCGTACCCCCATTTCATTTTTGATTTATCAATATGTGCATTAATAATTTCGAGTGTTTTTTTTTCATTTTTTGAACCCCACCAAAAGCAAACCCACCATTTAATGAAGGAATTCTTTTCTTTGTGAGATTGTCAGAAACTTCTTTGGAAATAAAATTGGATAACCACTTTGCGTGGTCTGGAAAGTTTGAAGGCCCAAAACATTGTTCTGGAATTTTTGTTCCATAACATTCACTTAACCATGATATTTCATCATTTGAAAATGTTTGGAAAAAATCCGAGTAAAATAACACAATTCTAATATCCATTAAAAATATACGGTCTATTTTATTGTAATTTGTGCTAACAAAATCAAGATATGAAATAAACCGAGCAATAACTGCGTAATCTGTTTCTTTTTTGGTAACTTTGACAAACTCTATTTTCAGACTGATCAATTTTCTATAATCGTTTTTGCATCTTTTTGGTAATTCAGAAAAGAATATAATGACGATATGGCAATTTGGCATTGCAACTCTTGCCATTTCCAAGCTTTCTAAAAATTGTGGTGAACAACATTTATCATAAAACTCATAAGATCCAATGAGATAATCTTTTTCAGAGTTTGCGTTGTATTTAAATATATCCCCACAAATATCCGTGTAGTTAAATCTTGAAGTATCGATATATTCGTTCGAAAAATGCTTTAAGTGAACATAATTTATTTGAAATTTGGTTAATCTCGATGAATTTTGAAGTGAAACCAAGAATAATATTAAAAGAAAACACATTAAGATCATAAGAAAAAAGGTGAGTCTTGTTAAATATTTGTGCATTTATTATTAAAAATTCTTGTTTAATATCCACTCATTAGACCTTTCAAAACATAAGACAGTCATACAAAATGTTATAAACTGAATTCTTATACAATGATGTTTTAAGGAAATATTGAATAAACTTGGTGCAATTATGTCAACTTATGTGATCTAAAAATAAATTAATTTCCTATTTTCACAAAACCGGTTTTATTATTTTATTTATATACAATAATGAATAATAGAGTCAGTCTTAACATTTCCTATCTCCAAAAGTTGTCTCTTTACAAAAAATACACAGTGAATCGTTTAAATTATAGAATTTAGGCAAAAATTCACAAAATGGTAAAAAACTGAAACATCTATTTCCTAGAGTTTCAGGAAAAAATTTCCCAATACATTAAAATTATATTTATAAAAAAAGGAGTGACAACATTTGGAGAATAACTTTATTATTTAAAGTTTTGATATTGGAATAACCATTTATATTTTTATATTTTATGACAAAATTAACAAACACAATTTCATAATATTAACTAATTCAGAATTTGAATCATTAATTAGTTATAAAGTTGGTCTTCTTAAATTTTGTACACTTAACACAAATTAGACTAGTTATTGGGAATTTTTGAGTAATTAAAAAAAAGCAAAATAGCATTTTTGGAAAATCGTAAAAAAATAAAATCGAAAAACTTCAAAAAGATGGGCGTACAACGTTTACATGCAGACTCCAGTAATATATTTTCAAATAAGAATTCTATTAAATATAATATATTTAAATGGTTTTGTACACAGTAATATTTAGTAAAATTAAATTGTGAATTATTTATAGAATTTAAAAATTTTTTTTAAGTACAATGATATTGTTAAATATACAGTCTGTCTTTTATAGTTATCTGGTGCCTTTTGGACCATAAAAAATGGAATAATTCGGGGAGCAGTCCCAAAAATCCATCCCAATTGTTTCAGGTTTTTCACGCTTTATCTAATGCCCGATGTTTAGACAAAAATGAATCTATTTTTTGTCCACTAGATAACGTTAAAAGACTGACTCTATAATAACTTATATATACTACAGTAAAAGGAAATATGGGGATGCTAGAGAAAGAAGGATGCTCGTAACT